TTGTTCACGGCCACCCCTAGTCGGTATGTGCTAAAGTTGTTGAATCTGATGTTATTAATTCTGTTATTGTTCTTTCAGTATATATCGTTGATGTTGTTGCTGCTACTGGTGATGCTACTGCTGTTGTTGCTGTTGCGGTTGTTGTAGTAGGTGCTGTTGTTGATGTTGTTGCTGCTGCGGTTTTTATTGTAGGTGTTGCGCTTGAGTTGTTTGGAGTGTGGCTGCATCATTATTCTCGACATGAGAGGCACTTCTCAAGAGTAGCGTGGTGGGCGCAGGATACAGACGAAGTGGGCTTGGATATTGTGCTGCTTCGCTACAAGGTTCGTACATCAAATTTAGAGCCAGCATATTCTGACTCGAGTAATCTTATTACTAGCGTGGCGCCTTACAGCATATATCCTTATCAGGGTAATAACAAAAGCCAAACACCTTAGTGGGCGCGGGAAAACGTGACGTAAGTGGTAAATGAGCACTGTGTATCGTCAGAGTATTGTCTGCGAAGACATCCGGTACACTTCTAATACCAATCTGCCATTTTTTTTGTCGGTGACGTCGCAGTTAATTCTTAAATACATCCTGATTATTGGCATCTTGAAATATGGCCTGGAAACTTAACTTGTTGTGACCATAAGATGCCCCGAAGCTGCAGCGATTGTGTTTCTTTTTTACTATCTTTACGGTCACCTCCTTCGTGATTCGTAATCGTTTAGAAGCATTTCTGCGTTTTGTGATCGACAAAAGTACGTGTAGGATGAAGTTAATGCCCTTAGGGAGCAATCTTCTTCTCCAAAAACCAGTGTGTATCGATAGAAGCAGCGTTGACTTGCCCTTGCACTTCGATAAAGGCACGGTACGAGCTGGTAGCTATTTATTATGTTACATTTGGGCGCAAAAATGCCAAAAATGTATATTTAACTCACTTGCTACCTCGACTGCTGGCAACGTCTATCTCACTCGCTGCTGTCGAACCTTTTCTGTAATAATAGGATGTGGGGCATTTTTTTATTTTTGTGATTAAAATGGGGCATTTTTTATTTTCCCTAATTTTTAGCTCTAAAGAGCAAAATGTAGATTATAGTGGTTTTATCTTAAGACGCTATATTGGCTACATGCAATTTATGTGGATAATACTTAACGTGACGTAGGTGTACATTTGGAGCGATTAGGCCATTTAAGCCGCGTGTATAAAACAAGGTCGTGACTGCAACGTCACATTTTTTGTTGTGATGGAGATACCGAAAGGAACTCAGGTTTGGCAATGGTATGTGCCGGGTCCCACCACAGTATGGGAATATATTTAGCGCATATAAAAGGTTACAAGGAACGGTGCTATATGTTTATTGGCGTTTTGAAAGGAGTGGATGTATGCCACGACACACTTTAGTCGTATCAGGTCAAAAAATGGATCAATTCCACTACATTCTCACGAAACACGAATAAAACAAGCGGGTACACTTTGGTCAAGAATTACTATACAATAATTTAATAATTTTATAGACTAACTTAGAGTCGAACAGACTTGTTTGTATAATGGAAGCGATGCGATGCACGTATAATTTCTGTGGGAATCTACATCGACATCATGTTGGTAACGTCTCCTATATCATCGAAGATCGACAGACTTTTTAAATTTGGCAAATGTGTCTGTAAAGAATCCAATATTAGCGCATAAATTTCATGAAATGCAAATCAATTTTACAATTAATGTGACTTTTATTTTTGACGAAGAAGTAATAATTGTAACTATGCTAAAGGAACTGGATTTGAAATGCGCTTATGGAATACGAATTCCCGTATATACTACCACTGCTCACATTGTCGAAAATGATGATACTGCTTCTATATATTACACTGGATGTATAGCTGGCATGTTATTTTCAATCACTGATGGATTCTCTGTTATAGATATTGCGACGCACTTCTCTTGATATTTAGTTTGCTTACATCGTGATACTGACTTAAGCGTTGCGAGACGGAAGGTGGTCGAACACTTGCCAAGAAACTAGCCAGGTTTTTACAAGTGTCGATAGATCTTCGTCAGCGAGTGAAAATACATGTCTATCTAAATGCGCCACTTTAATTTGGTTGCATAAGCTACGCATACTTTGCTGCAGAAAAGTCGAAATGGAAAATCGATAGTAAGAGGTATCTCAAAGTAGTGTTCTACCAGTTATACACTTTAATTTACTCGCAAAAAACAAGGTGTGTGTTTCCATGCCCACTACTCAGCAGTGATCAATACGGAGTCGGTCGTGGTTGCAACGACGATTGGCACGAGAGAATTGCCAGAGGATGGATGGCACCGTGCCGATGTCGCTTCAATTTTATTACAATAAACAAAATTTACTATTCTTTCTACGAAGCGTATTTGTTATGTAAATTTACCGTTCCCTGCACGTACATCGTATAAAAGGCCGAGAGGCCGAGAGGATCCTGCCTACGCTGAATCAGTACAAGTAAGTGCCGATTTTGCAAGATCATCTTCACCTTTCGTTATTGGTAAATGAATATGTTTTTGCGGTAGGAAGTATGCGTTTATTTGCACTCGTGTAAAGTAGTTAATAGTAGAAGCTGATATATTAAGTGTTAGTTCTCTCGTTACACTGCCCTACATGTTCTTCACCTACACTGAAACTTGACCTGGTCAAGTTGCAGATGGCGCACGTCCAGTTCGTAGGCCACCATGTGTTGATGCCACATGTCTTTCGCATCTTCGATCCCACTGGCTTCACGCCCTGGTCGTCTTATGTGGCGTTCGTGTCTCTGCGTTCCACTTAGTAAGTCGTTAGTGTTGTCGAAGAAGCGCCTCGGCCAGAGAGTGGGAACCGAACGGTACGTTTAGACGATTAGTAATGCGCGAAGGAGCGATTACTAATGCGCGACTGTACGATTGGTAATGCGCGACATAGCGATTACGAATGTGCAGTTGAAGAATCCAGTAGGTTTAGAGTAGCAAAATAGTTTGCGAACTAAGGACCTAAATATAATTACTTTTCATTTTACTGTCTAGTGCTCAAGTACCTTTGTTTTTCGTTAGATTATTGGTCAATCTGGTGAGGTCGGACGTTACCTGTAACAGGTCTTGCAGTTGACCGTTCAACCTCGATGACCTGTGAGAAGTGGTAATTTCAATACTTGCAAGTATAGTGTATAGGCCACGACGAGGGGAACCCCCATTTTGCTACGGGTACACCAGCCCGCCTAGAAGTATAAAAAAGGACTTCACATTTTATAGTGCAGTATAATATGTAAACACGTAGTCACTTACTAATGATCCCTATCTCTTTATCTTATACGACAGATCCACTCATGCGCGAGATTTTATCAATCCATCTTGGCCAGGGCGTTATTCAAACAGGTAATGCCTGCTGGGATCTCTACTGTCTCAAACATGGTGTCCGATTCGATAGTTTGATGCCGAGTGACCTGACCATCGGCAGTGCAACGACTCGTTTGCGACGTTTTTTGCCAAGATGGGCACGGACAAACACGCACGCGTGCAGTGTTTGTGGACGTTGAGGCTACCGTCTGTGACGAGGTACGTACTGGTACACAGCGTTGAATGTCCAACCCCGAGTAGATTATTATGGGTACGAAAATGCAGAAAACAATTACGCACGAGGTGTTACACCAACATGCTGGAGACCGTCGCTGAGTTTATGGCTGTTCTTTAGGTAGCGCCACGATCGCACTTACTGTAGACCTGTTGCAGACTTACCTTGTTTTCTTTGATCTGGCGACTACGATGGCATACCCTTGGGTAACCGCAAACCCGTTTAAGGTTGATTCAATTACGTTCCTGGAAGGAAAGCTGGTATTAATGAGAGCGGCACGTGGGGGTTGGAGCTGTTTAGCGACGGTTGTTCCTTTCTCGGGCATTCGTACGTCATTTTAGAAGTCCAGCTGGTGGGTGTTACTATCCGTTGTTTCCTGTCGTATCGCATGAGTATGAGGGGGCATGGACGCAGATGCGCGGCCAATACAGGTGTCTCACACATGTTCTTTTTCCTTTGTATTATGGGATATCCCCTCTTTTTTCCCAGAGCCCTAGTCCATACAATCTCAGCAATATGGTTGGGTGCTTTACATACAATTGTATTGTACTGTCCACGTACATTATTCTGCACTATAAAATGTGAGGTCATTTATATTATTTCAGGCGCGCGGGTGTGCCCGTAGCAATAATAGGGGGTGCCCCTAGTCGTGGCCCAGTGTATATCACTTGTTCGCGATTATCTTGTTCGCTACTATTTATATTCGCATTAATTAAAGTTAGTTCTAAAAAATGCAAGAAATTCGATATAGAATGAAACTTATATTGCACCACAATATGTATTCACATGATCCCTGGCAGTAATATTCGTAGGTTTACGATACATCTGTGTTGCTTTTTTATCTAACTTATCTTATGCCATTAATAATGTGTGATTAATACAAATAGAGCGTTTTGGTCTTATCTTGCTATTTTTTTAAATTGAAAGTAACTGGTCCTTTGACATTATCGATTTTTAATTCTTCTATTTTTTCTGTCTTGAGGTTCATTTTTATTTTCGTGATGTATTTCGTATTCTGTATTGGACTTTATTAGCATCATAGTTTATCCTATCTTAGAGGGTTGCCATTCGGCAGATATACTGGACCAAATGACAATCGCTCTTTTGGCATCAAATTGGGTGCTCTCAAGTTGCTTTGTTGTGATCATTAATCAGCAGCAACTCACTTTAACGCAACAGACGTGACTGGTATTGTATGCAAGTGCGTTTCCAAGACTCTTGTTGTTCTTTGCTCAATTAACAGAAACGAAAAAGTCATCGCTTTCGTTTTCGCTGCACATTGTAATGGGCGTTGACAAGAGAATCGCTATCAGTATTCACCTTTTCTGTATCAAAACAACCAAAAACAAAACAACACCACCAACAAGCAGCGAATTAGACGAAGAAAACCCGTCATCTAACGGGATCAAAACGCCCCATCCAAACACTTCGTAACCTGTTGGCATGGGGAATTCTGCGAGTAGCACGGCACGCGCTGCTCGGAAGGGTCCGTTCAGTGACGAGGTGCGGCGGCTGTTTGCTGAACAAGTTTCCGTATAGCTGGTGATGATCGTGTACGAAACTCATTGTATGTGTGTTGCTATGGCGGTCGCGCAGGAGTACGAGTGTTTGAACGGGAAGTTCAATGAATTGATCGCGTCGGCGTCGTCCGAAGCTGCAGTGGTCACCAACTTGCAGGTAAAAGAATTGTAGCCGAACCATTGCTGCCCATGCCGAAGTTACACTGTCATGTGTGTTGGTACCGCAGACGTGGCTCGAGCTGTCTCCACCTGCTGCAGCTCCAGAAGAGTTGACGGCTCCGTGCTTTCGATTGGGCTCGGCCTTTTATCGTTTGTGCTTGGAAGCTAACGAGAACGACGAGATGGATGGAGACCGGCCGAAAAGTTTGCTCATGGAAGACTTTGCACGAGCAGGTGCGAGTCTGTCGCTAGTGTAGTGTTATATTTCTTTCTCCTTCTGTTTCTCTTTCTTACTTTGTTACATTTCCCTTCTTCTCGTAGTCGCACATTGTGTGCGGGCGTCGTCGCAATCAATCTGCCGATCGCTCTTCCGTCTGTTTGCCGAGAACGCTCGTGCTGGTGCTATGACAGAGCAAGGATTGAGTCAGCTGCTGTTTGCCTGCCTTGTTATGGCAGGAGGCAAGGACGCTGACGATGCGGATCGTATCGCACATGTGGCAAAGTCACTCGGTCGTGCCGCCATGCCACCAACTCATACCGAGGCGACGAACGACGATTTTGTCCGATGGATTGGAGCTCAGTTTCCTCTTCTCTACACGGTCTTCATGTCATGGATGTCGCGTAAGAGCTTCGGGACGATCTTGACTAAAGCGCCGTACGAATTGCCCCGATTGTCGCACCAAAGCGGCATATTGGCCAGGTAATGTGGCTTCGGAGGTTCCCTTCTAGCTCGCCATTGTAACTCATTGATTGCGATTGGTATAAATGTTTTGAAACAGGTCGCATTTCGTGGCGTTGTCGACCGTCACGACGTCAATGCAGACATCGCTTAGTCGATTATACACAAGTGCACAGGACGGGTTGAGTTTCAATCGTCTAAGCTACCACATCCTAGGGTATTCTGGCCCAACCCTGACGGTCATCCGTGATACGCAGGGAGGTATGTACAATGTTGTCCGCTGGTTACTTTCTGTGCTTACACTGACAATCTTTTTGGACCAGCTGTGTTTGGCATGTTCTGTGATACTGAGTGGAAGGAGTCGAGTCGCTACTATGGAGGCAATGGATGCTTTCTCTGTCGAATGGAGCCTGACATTAGCATCTACCGTGTGTCTGCGAGTGGCTCGAACAAAAACTACATGTACCTGAACTCGAAGGGTGTCGCGCTCCCACGTGGACTCGGCATCGGAGGATCAACTGAGAAGTTTCGGTTGTTTTTGGGCGAAGACCTGGACGAGCATAGCTACACAACTCCGAAAGACTTGTCGTTCGAATCAGGTCGGTTATCGTCCAGCGAGCAGTTTTCAGTTGAGGCCATCGAAGTGTGGGGCTGCGGGGGAGAAGAAAGCAAAGAGGGCCAAAAGACGCACCGTCAGGAGACAGCTGACCTGATCAGCCGGGCAAGGAAGGTCGATAAGGCTCAGTTCGTCGGAAGTGACTTCGATAAAGAAATGTTTTTGGGGAAAACATTTGGGCACGGAACGGACAGAGCTCGTGTTGCCGACGACGAGCCATAAACGTGAGTGGCACACTGAGCTCAAAGAGCTGCAAATATCGTCACCGTCACGTGCATCACTTAATTACATCACATGGAACGTTTTCACATCGCGTTTCCTTCAACTCTAATTTGCGTGACGAACCAGTAAGAACTTAATCACCCATATCAGCGTCCCCATCTTCACCTCCGCCCTCCTCGTCTTCATCGTCGCCTTCCTCCATATTCTCCTCTTCATCATCGGCGCCTTCCTCCTCGTCCTCGTCGTCCTCGTCCTCTTCATCGCCTTCTTCGCCCAGATCGGCGTCTTCGTCCTCGTCGTTTTCGTCTTCGCCATTAACGTTTTGATCATAATGACAGCGACGTGGACCATCTAACACATTGCAATTCTCTTCGTCGTGAAAGTCGCCTCGAAACGTATTACATACGCGAAGTTTGCCCTGCTTGGTTCCGTACAAGAAGCCCCCGCCGCATATTGGACTAAACAATGCTATATTTACATCATCCATTGCACTCTCCACGTGCGACAGCAGCGCCATATCTTCCCACCGATATATACGTGTCACTCGGTGGACTGGGAACTCCGTCTCACTAGCACCACACAACGCACAAAGCATTAGTAACCAGCGAGATCAGCAGCCGAGACACTCGACTCAGCAACGCACCGTTGTATACGATCTCGAACACCATAGCCAAGCAGTACGTAAGCTGACGTCGGCGAAATTTTCACCGAAGTCACACCCCCTGCCGCTGTCTCAGCTAAGTGACACGTCTGAATGACACGACCAAGCTCTTCCGGATCGAGAGAGATCAATGCTAACCACGTTGACTGGTTCTCTGATGATAACCGCCCTCGGCGGTTGCGCTGGTTCCTAGTAAATCGTGTCCGACTCAGCGCAATATTGGGTCGAATCTGCGAATATCTCTGTTGGGGAACGGCTGCAGGAGCCGTAGCACTACGCGTTGGTTCAAGTGCCGCAGTGTAGCGCTGAATCCCATGGGGCGGGTGCAGTCGAGGCCGCACTCGTCGTATTTGCTGATTCATATATTGATCCATGGTGAGAGATAAATCTGCGGCGGCTGATTGCAACGCTGCCAGCATATTCGGTGTACCTGTGTGCATGCCGGAAACGGCCACAAGCCGAGGTGGCGGTGAACGAATCGGAAGCGACAATGGCATGGTCACTGGCAGAGTCTGCACGGAAACCGTACTTCCGCGCGTCCCGCGTGATACCGCACCGGAAGAGGAGCTGCTCTCGTTCGAAGCAGTAACTTGTGGGTTTGCTACAGAAACATCGCTCACGTCTTCGCTGGGGCTTGCTGCACCACCAGTCGACTCATTCGTCGCTGGGACAGAAGAAAGTATCGTTTCCAAATCTGTAGTAGCTTCGTTTTCTGCTTCCATTTCCACCTCTTTTTCAGCTTGCCTCAGTGAGAAATCAGCACAAATTGCCAAGTATCGCCCGCAACGAGAAATGTCAAAGCCGCCGTCATTGTAGATAAGGGCATGCGATAGAATCACGCGGCTGTTGTTCATCGCTTTTTTCGTTAGCAGAGGCTCTGGTGATAACGCCCATGACGGATCGAAGTCCCACATAGTCAGTGTGACCGTAAGATCAGAAGGTGGGGCTTGGCCTTGTGGTCTCTAAACAAGTCGCAACACAGGCACAATGTCATCTATCAGTCTAGTGGCTAGTCAATAGTGTGTGTGGCTGCATGCTAGCGACGAACCACGTAGCGCTCGTTTGCTTCTCCAACCATGATGTTAGATGGATCTGGCAGAAAGGTGACGGAGCGTAACGTTTGGTAGCTAAACATTGCAATACGTGGGCAAGTATGCTGAAGACCAGTACACAACATATCAGTCATCTCACACTCCTTACAGTGTCAAACCGAGCTTCTTCACCTGGTAATCCCACGTGTACACGCACGTTCCACTTGCGATTGCTAGAATGTCGCCCGATGGATGAAAGGAAATCGAAATGATAGCATGACGAAGTGTGGACACATAGAGGCAGCGACCGGTCTCAATATCCCAGAACCTGTAAGCCGAAGTGCCAGTGCGTCATCATAAGTTCATCATAGCTTTACCGCGGGCCACCTCGATAACGCGTTCCGACGTACCGGACTTGAAATCCCAGACAACCTGAAGCCACATAGCGTGGATCCGTGGGGTGAAACTTCACGCTCCACGGAGTTCGCGGGTGGCCAACTAACGTCTGCACGACAGATGCACGACATCAGGTTTTCGTATGCAAGCAACGCTCCTATCTTGTAAGCTTCCCACCTGAATGACTTTGCCCGTTTCAATGCATATAATCTTCACGGTGTGATCTCCATGCGTCGAAGCAAACGTTTTGCTGCATCACATACACCAATGGCACAAACAGAGCTTAGTCCATTGACACCTGCCAGACTCAGCCTGACACTCTTCTATCGATCGTTCTACCTCTCTACAAAAAGCACCTACCCGTCCGGACTGATAGCGATAGAAATCGTGGACTTAGTCGTCTGCGGTAACTCAAAGTACCGACTCTGATGCTGCAAAGGACAAGAGAGAGCGAGAAAACGGTCATTTGACTCGTCAGTCGCTTCTCGTCTCCAGATCGTCGACCAGGCAGTTTCGATTGCACTGCACCAACATACAGGAGGTACCTTGAAAGCGCTTTCACCTTCGGCCCAAAAGTTTTCCTCCCGATCTTCTCCGACCGCTCGCACCGTCTTCTGTCGTCTAGCGCCACCGAACTCGCGCCGGAGCAAGACACAGGCGATGTTCTGCTGGTTCTTCGCACGGCGAAAGGAGTTGGGTACACCCGGAGGGTTCAGGTCCGCAGCGGCTCGTTGGCTCACTTTGGAGTCCATGGCGAAGACCTAGCGCCAAATAAGGGGAAAGAGAGAGAGAAAGATAAAAGAGAGAGGGAGAGAGAGAGAGAGTTGTCAAGAGCGTCAGAAACAGCAGCAGCAGAAGCGGTTTGTGTCCACTACTACGTTCGTATAGCGAGAAGAAGAGCAGAGCGGAGACACGACATGGCGGCGACTCACCTTAGATCGACTGCACGACGACGGGCGAGAGCGGCGCTGTAGATAGTTCGGTGCGACTGCGATTGCTATTACTTCGACGACCGGTACGACGACTAGTACTACTACTACCTCTCGCGGGGAGATTGACTGCTGTTACACAATGGTCATAGGTCCCACCGCCGGATGGTGACGTGGGCTGTTTTTTCTGTCGTCAAACGTTGCGTACATTCGTGCAACTGTTGCTGACATGGCGGTATATCATTGAGTACAATGCGTCTTAAGACAAAATCCGACCTAGGACGGGAATTGAACCAGGCCAGCGGTGCAAGATGTTCAAGCCATAACTACATGTTTGTCCATGCAAACGAAAACGCTGATAGGCTCGACAGTGCGTTTGTTTGAACCACTGCGTGCCAGGTCAGCAATAGTGGGGCGACTCAACACACACTTCCCATGACCATGATCAACGCCTGGTGGCAGCTGGATTATTAATGCTGTAAAGGTCTAAGCAGCGAGTAAGAGCGGTATCACTTACACATCAAAGTATCGCTACAATCGTGAAGTTCTCGCGATGGTTCCACGTGATGGTAGTCCATGTGGTGCCTGTAGCTCTAGCGCCAGCAGCAAACCTCATCGGCTATAGTGCATGCACCCCGCAACTCGAGGCTGCTCTACGTCGACGAGCTGACTTCCACCCTCCCCGTTTCCACGAATCTGAGTCAAACTTCAGTGTGTTTACGCACCTACGTCCCTTGTTAATTCTATTTTTACGGCTTCGTATCACGGCATGAACCGTCGCGCTCTCTGTCGAATGACAACTGCTTCGGGCGATTTGATCGGTGAAAGACAGCACGTCATGAGCTCGCGCAGACTGGTTCCTTCTCTGACTCGATAGGGCACATGATTGTCCTGCGCACGGCTGTTCATGTTGGTCGTCAAGGGTCACGCGGCAACGATGTGGAAGAGAGCGTGCAGGAGCACAAGCTGCGGTCTACCGCAAGGTACAAGAGCGATCAGCTGTGTCTCTGCCGTACCGCTCAAAATGATTATGGAGTAAACGCACTCAGATGCTGGCTCCCTAACTCACACAAGATGCCATTGTCCTTGGCGATGATTGTTGACAGCACGATGGATACCTTGCGTAGACCGTCATTTTTATTTTCGACACACGAACAATGTTCAAGCTACCAACTCTTTCACGTGTATACCCTCGCCAAACGAGTTCCAATTCGTCAGCTCTTTCCTCGCTCGCACTTGAGCTCGATACTGTTGTTGACACAAGCCGCGTACTGACCATGAGGTTCTTGTCCACTACCGTACTTAAGAACATCACCGAAATGAATTTATTGACCCGATCTGTCGATATGGCAACAAAGTTGGTATGTACATGCATGGTCGGAAACTTCTTGGCAGCAAAAGAGCGCCGAGTGCTGCTTGCGATCAATCTACCAGAGATTCAGAGCGCTCAGCTGGCAAGTTCGATCCCGCAGCTCCATTTCCCTTCGTTGCTCCTTTCCAAAATCTCCTCTACAAACGGATATCAACAATTACGACGACCGACGTCCAAAAACGGCATGTTGCACTTGTAATGCAGCCACCCCGCGACCTGTCTCAGTCGTTGCGACGCACTCACTAGAAAGAGCCAGGGCCCTATTCATAGCCGGCGGTCTATTAATAGCTCGCTGCCGCAAGATTGGGTTCACGGTGTTGTTCCGCCCAACGTGGAGCCAAAAGATCCGGTGCTGTCTGCAGTCAGAGAGCACACGCGCGACGAGGCGGCGCTCTCATGGGCGCGGCCAACAGCGTCTGTAAGCTCACGGTCGACAGCATCGCGCTGCTCGAGCAGCTCGAGCCCAACAGGGCCGAAGGGGCGGCCAAGCGCGCCGTGCGGCTCCGCGTGCAGGCGCTGCTCCAGCAGCAGTGGCCCACGTGCTGCGTGTTGCCTTTTGGATCGTCCGAAAGGTCGCCGGGCCGCAGCCCTAAGTCTGCGACACGCAGAGAAAACGTAACCGTTAATGTAACCCGTGCTGTGCTGTGGTGTACCTAAATGACTGCAGCAATCTCGGCTTTGGCGGATGCGACGTCGACCTGGGGATCTTTTTCCACGACGTCCGCGTCGACGCGCTCGGTGCGCTGCCGGCAGAGAAGCGCGTCGAGCTACTGACGACCGCGTGCGAGCGTCTGTCGCGCACGTTCCAAGTGCGGGCGTTTGTCCGCCGCGCGCGTGTACCGGTACTAAAGCTATGGGACCCCCAGCGAGAGGTACGTGGCCGTCTACGAACGAGTGGATAATGTACAGGTAAATGGATATCCTGTGATAGTGATGCAAGTGGGTCGTTGCTGTGTTGGCAGGTGGCGTGTGACGTGTGTGTGGGAAGCGGTAGCGCTCTGCTGAACACGGCGCTGCTCCGATACTATGGACGAGTGGATCCCCGTGTGCGGCCGCTGGTGTTTGCCGTCAAGTACTGGGCCAAGCAACGAGGAATCAACGACGCGGGCAATGGCACGCTGAGCTCTTACGGTGCGGCAAAAAGAGTTCGATTCCCGATCTGTTGGGCTCTCTCGTGGCCATTGGAACGTGCTGCTTGGTTTGCTCACGGGATGCCGGTGGCTATGCGTCATGTTTCTCTTCCGACAGGTTATACGCTATTGCTTATCTTCTACTTGCAGTCACAGTGCGCTCATATCCAGCTGCCAGCCGTGCACGCTGATTTCCAGGACCTGCAGTCGCAGACCAACATCTGTGGGCTGCTCAAACAGCTGCACTCGGTCTCTACGGTGGACTTTCCGTCCACCTTTGGGACGTCCGCGGTGAACTCAGTTGGAGCGTTACTTGCAGGTTTTTTCGACTTTTACGCACATCGCTTTAACTTCGAGCACGACGTGGTGAGCATTCGCACGGGAAGTGCCTTGTCGAAGACGACCAAGTGGAGCCACCCGGTATCTTGGCGAATGAGCATTGAAGATCCCTTCGAGTTGGCGCATGACGTGGGACGCGTTGTGTTCCACCGGAAGGGACATGATCTGATTCGGTCGGAGTTTGCACGCGCGAGTGATCTCTTGAGCGCAGATCGTCGTCTCGGGGACATTTGCGTATCCGACGAAACTTCGTGGGACCTCACGGCAACGTGCTACATTTGCTACAGCAGGAGCCATCCTGCGCGGAGCTGCGACCAATGTGCACGTCAGCATTCAGCAGCTGGTAGCGGCTGCAACATGGTCTCACGCTTCTCGGACTGCTGGTATTGCGGACAGCTAGGTCACTACAAAGCAGAGTGCCCAATGCTCTTCTACCGCGACATCCCATGTCCTGTCGACGCAGCTAAATCGATCGTTGAGACCACCTCTGATCCGAGTCCGCCAACGTCTCTACCCGTTCCGATTCCAGTGTCTCCAGCTTCAACGACGGTGTCATTCCTCGTTTGCAAAGAGCGCCCCTGGGAGCGCGGCATGAGTCCGAGCAACTTGCTGATGCTTCGTCTATCTCGGAAGAAGAAGCGTGCACGTTACAGCTCTTCGTTGTCGACTATATCTTCTACGCAGACATCGCCATGGATCTGGTCATCGGGTGGTCTACCGCACGCAGAAAAGCGGCAAGAGCAGCAGAAACAAGAGCATTACCGTCGTGATCTTGCGCTTCTAGCGCGTAAGTTCGATGGCAGCAACGCTTGCTGCGGCACGCTGGAGGTTGGCAAGGTGCTCTGCTATTCGTAACACGGATACGCTCTTGTCGGTTGTCGTTTGAGTATATTTAGTAGCGATCGTTGCGAAAGCACACCTATCAAATGAAGTTCTGAGTCTTGCATCAGGTAAAAACTTTTGACATGTGAGCGATATTGAGATTATTCGTGTCACCATTTGAGTGTTAACGTTAAAAAACTCTGTGCGTATTGTCTTTTATGTTGCGTGTTTAACTTACCTCATATGCTGCAATTGTTTTGTGGGATGAAACACATCGCGACTCCCAACCATTGCTCTGCCAAAATGTGGTAAGACGAATGCTCGAGGACGCACTATCTCAACCATTTTTATGGCGCACCTGCTTCGAACTAATTGTAAGATCATGACGTGTTCCCCATTAACCATTGTACCTCGCCGAATGCACTGGCCAACTCTCTACCTTCCTCGAAGTCGTAGCAGGGTTTTCTGAGTACAATATGTGTAATGGGGGGAGCTTATCACATGTCATTATCACGAATTATGTCGATGTGAATATTATCTTAACTGCTAGTCATTCTACAATATGACGCTTGTTTGTCAATGTTAAATGAATATTACCGTTGTATGAAATACTCGGCGCCGCTCCACTTTTGGTTGAGACAGCAAAATTATACGTTGGTAGTTAGTGGTATAACATCGTTCGTTTAAGTAGGATGCTTCATAATTAAAAATATCTTAATTGTATTATATATACAGCTGCACGTACCCCTGACTCTGAGCAGTTTCTTGCTCAGATAATTATCTTCCTCTTCACGTGCCGTGGAATAATAGCGAAGTTAGATTTATTGTTTATCTCTCATTCATGTAAGCATAAGCAACGTGCTTGTAGCACGAGGAGGAACGCTTTCACGAGAAAAAAAGTCTTCAACCGTCATACACCCTCCTACCGACCCCATCAATCATCACTCATCAATCAGTAGGTCGCACAATACTTGAAGTCACAGGTCACTCCCGGTTTCTCTTCTCGAGTCAGGAAATTAGACAGAAACGTGAGCTTTCTTTTCCAATAATGAGGCATTGCTCATACTTCCCCGAAACTCACGCTTTCAGTCCTCACGCGTCCTGATGTTTAATCATCACCGAAACACTTTTCACCCCTAGTTGCTGCCTCAACCTTTCAGATCTGTGAGATCCGAGAGCTTTGGTGAAGATGTATGCAACATTGTCTTCGGTGGCGACATACTGGATCGCAAAAACCTTCTTTTCGATCATTTGTGCACTCTTGTTGCTTTTTTTGCGTACCGAATCGCTCCGTCGTAGTTGCCGATAGTGGAGCAGTGGAACAGAACGTTGCTTTGAATGTCTATTCGCAGTTCATCAGGTGCTTGCTTCAAGTTGAGCTCTGCAATTAGTTTGCGAGACCACATAAATTGCTCGACGCGCATGCTGCGGCAATGAGCTCCGAATCGCATGTATCATATGTTACGGCCTTTTGTGTCTTGCTCTTACACCGAAATCTCCATCCATTCAGTTGAAGAACAGAACCCGTCACTGATCGTGGGGTGTCCGGACAACTTGCGTGGTAAACATCAATGTAGGCAAACACCTTTAAGTTATCTCTTGGTATAGCTTCGTCTCGACGATAGCACAGTCCGAATGTTCTTGTTTCGTGAAAATACCGAAGTACTCGATCCACTTTTTAATAATTCTCCGAAGTATACGCGTCTGTATGTCGACCAAGACTTCGCACTGCATTGGCGATATCCGGTCGGGTACACTTCACCAGATATTGTAGCTCACGAAATAACTCCCGATATGGTATGCGAACGTCATCAATCTTGGTGGTGTACGTCTTCGTCGTCATCTTGTCGTTTTGCTGTTGTGGTGACCGCAAGAAATTGGCTTGCTTCAACGAAATCGCGTCAGCATGCGATCAACGTATGCTGTCTGAGACAGACACAGCATCACGACAGGCTCGTACTTCACCTCCATATTGAGAAAGTACGATACGCGTCCGAGGTCCATTAACGCAAATCATCCACGCAAGTTGTCCACCACAACATCGATGCTGCTCGAAGTTCCTATAATCAGCATGTCATCAACATAGACAGTATCAAGAACAATCCGCCCTTTAACATATTTTGAGTACAATCCCACGTCAAATGCGCACCGTTGGAAACCGTGTTCCACCAAGCAAGCGTTCCAAGTCTGATACCCGAGCCTTGCCACCTTCTTCAGACCGCACAAATCTTTCTTCAATAGAAATAAACGTTCAGTGCCTTCATCGAAGGAGGTTGGTTGTTCCATATAGATGGTCACACCAGTCAACCAATTATTGAGAAACGCGGTTTCAACGTCGATGTGTCTTGCCTCAAGCGCTGTGACCATCGCAACCAGCAACATCAAGAGTATCGTTGGTATACGAACGAGGGGATAATGCATCATGTCGTATTCTAACCCCGCACGCTATTTAAAACCGTGAATAACAAGTCTGGCCTAGTAGCACACGATCTTGCCATTCTCATCCCTTTTGATACTAAGAACCCACCGCAAAGTGAGAACTTCTACTGGTCTTGACGTGTTGTTTTCTGGTCGATCCACGAGGATCCATGTGCTATTGCACAACAGAGAATCATACTCTGCTCGCATTGCCTCCTTCCACTATTGCCTCTGAGGTGATCCCAGGGCCCCTTCCACTGTGGTTAGTTCTTCTTCACTCATATCTTCTGCATCAACTGATAACTTCTCAGCCTGACACTTAATCGCGTTGAACTTCTCGTAGGTTCTTCTGAAGTGATACTGGCCTTCGGCGGTTGTTGTGAATATGCTCTTCTTGTGCGTGCATGGGTTCGAGCTGACGCATTATCAGTTTGTGGTACTAATATTGTCAAGACAGTTTCCGCTGTTCCTTCACCTTCGCCCGTGAGTTGTGCAGTGATCCTGGTGTGATTGCCCCTCCACCACAAATACGTGTTTTGTCCGCAAATAAGTACCCTCAACATTCTTATATTTAGATTTGAAGTCATCATCTGTCTTTCGTGTCTCCTGCCCTGAGTTATGGGAACGCTGCCGGGAGGAGTAGTTGTGAATACGCAATGTAGGCGTTGAAACTGCCGCCTGATGGATTTTAGTCTGCAGCATAATCTACGCATCGAGCGTTGAGGCCGCATCACATGACAATGTACAATTGTCTTCGTTTAGATAAAAATCTGTATTTATAAATGGCTATGCAATGCTAATAATGTGGTAGGTATTCTGAGAGGCTAATAATACCTAATATTACCGGGTGGTATATCGTATACTTCCGGTAATCCTACCCTCGATTTTATCAAAAATTTGCCGATTAGAGTCTACCATAAATTCATGTAACGAACGGAATGTGCCGAGATGACCCGATTTTGTAGCCAGTTTTCGCCATCGGGTGAAGGGAAGCGATAGATCCATATTTCAAATATATAATCCTCTGATAATGGGTAACTAAATTAACCTATAGTACATGACATCTACACTTACCATTTTACGGTCGCTAACTCATATTTCATAAATGGTAGCCGAGAATTTATGTATTGGTTGATAGAGGTAGAATGATAACCAAATCTAAGGGAGTAACCCTATATAATTCAATCATCAAAAGTGGATTGCGAAGTGTTCGAACTACAAATACTAGCCTGAAGGCTGCGGGGTAGCTTGAAGTCAGAGCGGTGATTTTATTGGGTATCCCAAGCAAATCGCTTGGTACAGGCACAACCTACCATGTAAAATTTTATCGGACTAGGAGGATCTGCATATATCTGTCTCCTCCTCTGCTACCTCTCCTTCTTTCCCTTCATTCTTCTACTGCGCTGCATTTAAATTTACCTGATAATAGAGATCTGTCTGATCACTACAGCCTTCTCCAAAAGAAATTAGGAGCTCCTCAATTTCCATCAAATCGTGTAGCGGTAACTTTTGAATTAATTTCCTGATCCTGTCCTAAATCTTTATCATTCTCTTCCGTCTTCTTCTTGTCCTCCATGTTGTACACGTTCTTTCTTAGCAGATTAGCCGAAGCATCTTTTTCAAAAAATTCGATGTAGCTAAAGTTAAACTCGGTTTGGATAACCGCAATATCTGTCCAGGCAAAAATACACCAGCGCATGTCTGAAAGCTGGTAAACGATGTAAATGCTGCATATCTGGCCGCAGTGTTTGGATTCTAGCGAATGCTGACGATGATTAAGCTAGTAGCGCCTTTTAAGATCGGTAATAACGCCCACATACATTGATTTTACTTTCGAAGTCGTATTGTGCGTAAGGCGCTGAACGATAAGGTATGTCATCTGCTGGTCGTTTCTAAACTGGGATGACACATTGCAAATAAAGTCGAGGACCTTTCTGTCTTGGTTGTATAGAACTTTCCAGATATTTGTAAGATTAACAGACCAACCCTAGCTACAGGTTGCAAACATGTCTTCATAGCTGTGAAAATATTGGGGATTTATACATAACACTACATTCTTTATTATCCTATTTTTTTAACGTTGCGTCCGTAAAGGAAATTGGAATTGATCTCGTGTCTTCTTTTATAACGACGCGAACTTTCGGCACGTACGATGAAGAATGGCTGAATCGTATCATAACAATCAGATTCGCTGTGAAGCATATCGTGATGCTAGTCTGTATGGCAAGTTTCATCATATCTGTATATTAGTGGTTAGACAAATACAGATCAATTTACCGTGTTCCATGTTCTACTCGACCTCATAATGACCGATTTCCTACCAGAGATCACACTGTGTCGCTGAATGCCTGCATAGAATAGTCACATATCTGTGTGCTCGCGGCAATTGACGCTACCGTTGAACACGGAGTCGTTTTATTTGATGTGCTAAAACCCGGGGACCTCATGCCGTGATCGAGAGGATTTGGTTGGTTCCGTGCTGCGCCTTGCCTCTCCGCTCATCACTCTTTCCCATTAGACGTGTCACTAACGCGTTACCACCAATGTATCTGCACGCGTCGTACCTGACACAATGACACCATCAAAGCAAAGGACTAATGACGGAAGGTAATGCA